GCGCCCTCAAGACATGGTTGTTCCAGCTTGCGGGACTGGCCTAAGGGATTTTAAAGGGGTTTTAATTACTTTTAATCAGATGAGTTTAAATATTTCTTTTTAATCAATTTTAATTGGTGTACTATATGTTTGTATTTTATCCAATTGTTAGCCGCCCTGAGTCCGCAAGGAGAAGGGCGGGATATAAATGTAATTAAATTAAATAAATAAATAAATAAATAATAGTGTCAAAGTGTCAGAATATTCTGCAATATTCACACACCGCATTTGATACAATTATTAGTGAACAACACTCTACCTCTGAAATTGGATAGGAAAAGTGAAGGGGGACACAAAGATTCTGGCAAGCCATCCATATTTCATGCCACCCATATTTCATTTCATCCCATATTATAGCTATTGGCTGTGCTAGGTTTGGCATGCTTCAGGTGTGCCACAGGTCTTTTACATACACAGGAAGTGCACACCCTTGTCCTCACAGAGCCATAGGGGTTCCATAGGGGATTTCAGAAGAACCACTGAGAACACGGTTCTACAAGGTTTTCTCTGGAGCTGTAGGACAGACTTTTTTTCTCGCTGGTTAGAATTCATTTTGCCTCACTCATTCTATCTCCTGGGATTTCTTCCCCACGTCCTGAAATAAAGATGTCATAGATCTTTGTTGTCAGACCCCCACTTTGGGGGGAGTGATTGGGCACATGATTTTGCAGCTTCTCTCTCCTACCTTCCCTTTTGTTTTTTTTGCTGCAAAAGCAATACATTCCACTGACGGTAATAAGGACTGGAAAGCCGTATGTTTTTTTGATGTCAGAATGATTTGTATTTTATTATTTATTTATTAGATTTTTATCCCACCTTTATTACTATAAATAACCCAATGCGGTGAGCATACATAATCTAGATGAGATGGGTGGGCACACAAATTTAATAAATGAATAAAATAAATAACACTCCTTCCTTCTCTTTTTCCCCACAACGACAACCCTGTGAGGTGGGGTTGGGCTGAGAGAGAGCGATTGGCCCAAAGTCACTCAGATGGTTGTCATGCCTTAGGCACACTCTCCTGCTTTCTAGGTCAGCATCTTAACCACTATGCCAGACTGGCTCTCCGATTTTTAAAAGATTTTTAGTGCACCTCTTCTTGGTATAAAAAATAATAATATACTTTACTATTTTTAGAATACCAAAATGAAATGAATTTGATGCTAATCTTGAAATAATTTCTCATAGAACACATACATACATATTTAGGTACGGTATATCATAATTATAATTACTGAGAATTATTCACACATTGATTAAATGTAATGGGAAAAAGAGAAAAATATAGGAACTGAGATTACAAGTTCTTAGAAAAATCTTAACCCTACACCAATGGTCTCCAACCTTTGCAGCTTGGCAGCACCTGCTTGGGGTGGGGTGGGGAGAGGGGAACAGGGCTCTGTGAGCAGTGGACTGGCGCATGCAGCTCCACTCACGCAAGAGAGAAGAGAAGCCTTTGGGGCATGGTTTCACACTCCTTCAGGCCTCTCCACACCAAAAGCTTTTACAAAGACATGGAAAGCCTGAAGCAGCATGAGATGGCTCCCCTGAAGCCTTTCATTCGTTTGCAAAAGCTTTTGGCATGGAGAAGAGAAGCCTTGGGGGGGGCGCAGTCTCATGCTCCTTTAGACTCACCAAGGCTGCCTGACGCTCCAAAAACGGATTGGGTGTCCTGCACAGGCAGCCTCGGTGAATCATTGAAGCTGAGTAGGGCACGCTCATCCTGCTCAGCCTCTGCTCTCACCACTCTGCTTTTGGAGCATTGGGAGTAGGCAGCTTGGCCCGGCTGGGGGGGCAGGGAGAGGGGAACATGACCACGCGAGCGGTGGGCCGGCGAGCATGTGCGCAGCTCCGCTTAAGCAAGAGAGAAGAGAAGCCTTCGGGAAGTGCTTGTGCGTGTGGAACTCTGCACACACCTCAGCCTGCCTCTTGCACGGCCCAGTTCCGAATAGGCCATGGTCTAGTAGTGGGCCATGGCCCAGGGGTTCTGTAAGGGTTCTGCCTTACAGAACTGAAAAGCAAAGAAAATCTGGCAATGAACTTTACATTTTTATTTTACCTGGGTCATATGCTGAAATTCACTATTATGTCCTGTGCCAATGAGGTAGTGAGCCTTCACTCCAACTTCTTCAAATTTGGGATTATCATTAATCCACCGATAGATAGCAAATGCACTTTGACGAGTTTTTGAGAAAATAATTCCTCTGGGTTCATTGCTCTTTGTGAATTGTTGCATTAAAGTCATGCGCAACTTTGTTAGTTTTTCATTTTCATATTGTAGTTTTTCAGCTAACTCTTCCAGCTCCTTCTGTTTATCTTTAGGAACAAATGTAAATGAACAAAATATTTAAGTAATTATGTTTTAAAAGAATTAGAGCATGTTATTATGAGTCATGCTGGCTGACACAGATTGTAGTCCAAAATATCTGAAAGTGTCAGCAGATCATGCTCAAAAAAGACCACCATCTATTTTCTGTTGTGCGTACCAACTAGATAACCTTGCAGAAAGGAAAGAATGATGTAGGCTATTTGGTTCTTATTCACATCTCCTGCACGTTTGCAAAATCTTAACTTAACTTAAGCACAAAATACAGATAGCAAATTCTGGCAGAAGCCCTGCAGGCATCAACTTGGGTCAAGATGAAAATCATTGTTTTAATACCTCCCAAATATTTTTCATAGCTATCTCTGCATATAAGCAGAGCAGGGGCTAGTCTTAGAGTGGACTGTGGAATACTGCAATATTAGTTGTAAGCTGGTTGTAAGTCCCTGAATTGCAATATGTGACAGTAATTTAGGCTGCAATGGCCGCAATTGCAAGGGCCAATTGTAAGTATCCCCCATTCAGAGCTGTTATAAGATTAAATGATTACTGAATGAGTGTAAAGATAGAAGAGGGAGGAGTACATCACTGAATAATGGCCAGAAAAATAAACTTAGAAAAGATTCACTGTAACTAATCAGACTGTAAAAAGAGAAGGTGGGAGATTTGTATTTTCAGACTTGCAAAACTTTGTTTATGTAGCTTTACAATAAAGTAGATTTTGCTCATCTTGTTGTGTTTCCTGTCTGGTATATTTGGGAGGTTGACACAACATCACAATGCAATGCAGCATGGCATGACAGAGAATGGGGAAAGCTGTGAAATAAAAGTTTGGATGTCTGAAACGGTAACAGACCGTGAGAATAACTTTGGGATAAGGAAGAGTCTAGTCTAGGCAACGGTCAGAGAAAAGATATCTCTGATTCCAGAAGGAATGGAGACATGAAAAGCATTTCAGAAGGGATTCTCCCTAGTTTTCTGGAAAGTAAAAACAAATGAGAAGAGATGTACTTTCAGATTTGCAAGATTTACTGTAATCTTACAATAAAGATTGTGTCAGTACTCATGATTTGTGCTTCTTGTCTGGTCTACCTCAAAGGGCTGACTTCAACCTGGAGCCACACAAATCTTTGAGGAAATTTCATTTAAGAGGGTGGGTGCTATGACAGAGAAAGGCACTCTTCCTTTGCCCCAATAGATACATATTGATTAATCATATAATCATAGGCTGGAGAGTACCTCAGAGGTCTTCTAGTCCATCCCCCAGCTCAAGGCACAAGACCTTATACCATCCCAATCGAATGGCTGTCTTGTCTATTCTTGAAAGCTTCCAGTGATGGAATACCCACAACTTCGGTAGGCAAGCAATTCCATTGATTATTTTTTCTCACTGTCAGAAAATTTCTCCTTACTTCTAGATTGTATCTCTCTTTGACAAGCTTCCACCCATTACTTCTTGTCCTGCCCTTTGGTGCCTAGAGAATAAGTCAATCTCCTCTTCTCGGTGACAGCCCCTCAAGTACTGGAAGACAGCTGTCATGTCCTCCTAATCCTTCTCTTTGATAGGATAGACATACCTAGTTTCTTTGTTTGTCATACGATATAGTGATCTAAATTTAAATTTAGCGATTTAGTGATTGAAGGGATTCAGAGGATGCCAACTCTGCAGACACTTTACTAGAAGGCAGAAACTACAGAAGATAGGCAGGGTCCCAAATAACAAGGCACCTATGCCATGTTAGAGCTTTATAGGTAATAACCAGTGACTTGAATCACATCTGGAAGCATAATGGAAACCAATATAGTTTACACAACAGGGATTGAGGGAGGCTATGTTGTCTGGATATGTTCACAGCAAACAGTAGTAGTGTAGACTTACCTACAAGTAAGCTGTGAGGAACCTAATCCTTAGATTCCTACCTGCTTGCACTGGGAGCACATGGTTTATTGTTATGACTAAACCAGGCTAATAGCTTTGAGAATAAGAAGGCAGCTTGCCTAAATCTCTATCCACAGAACATCTTAAATTACTCTTCCCTATTTCAGCTAAAATAGGGAAGTTTATATCCCAATTTTTGATGAAAACCAGAAATTTTATAAAACATGAATGAAAAATGTATGTGACGTGTGATCAAGCCTTACTTAATGATCCAGCTGCAAGAAATTTTGGTTCTCATTTTAATATTGTACATTGATTTGTAGACGTGTAGACAGGAAGTCCCAGATGACTCATGCTTACCATAAAACAACTCTATAAGACGTGTAGCAGTTTCATCTGGTTGTGAGGCTATGAGTTCATCTTCACTATCTTCATCCATTGCCATCTTTCTACTCCTTTCTTCCTCATAAAAGGTCTTCAGATGATTATAGGCATCAATCATTTGGGTAGTATCATTAATTAGCAAGGCATCGTTGTATTTCTTCAAGTGCTCTGCACATACCCGCTCTTTGCGAGTCCCTTCCTTGGCAGCTAGAAAAAAGAACAAGCACTGAGAAAACAAGTAAGCAAAGGTCTAGGACAGTGGTGGCGAACCTATGGCACGGGTGCCAGAGGCAGCATTCAGAGCCCTCTCTGTGGGCACACATGCCGTTGGCCCAGCCTTGCCTCCCCCCGTGACCTTCTCCTCTCCAGCAGCCCCCCTGAAGGAGAGTTGCCCCCGAGCGTGGCCCATGCAGAGCAGCGCAGCCAAGGACATGGCAGCCAGGCAGCATAGACAAGACTCTGCCCTCACACCTCATCGTGAACAGTTGATGCTGCAGGGCGTGGGCAGAGGGCGTGACCGCCATAGTGCTGCTGAGCTGCCTGGGCGATCTGTGGTGGGCCCTGGAGGCAGTGAGTGGCCCTGCGGGCAGGTGGGATGGGGGATGGGGGGGCAGAACAGGGGCGGGGCAGGGGGTGGAGCAGGGGCAGGGCCAGTTTTTGGGCACTCGGTCTCTAAAAGTTTCGCCATCACTGGTCTAGGAAAACTCTGGCCACCTATTTTAGCAATGTATTAACAATGTAAACATTACCTTTCTTTTCCTCCTGAATGACCCACTGTTCATAGGCCTGTGATCCAAAATCAGCATTTGGACTGAATTGGCAATAGCCTTGAATCTCAGTCATAATGTTTACGAGTTTCTCTCTAAATGGATCCTAAAATGTAAAACATTTCATCAGTTAACAATCACAGGATTAGAAGGGATACTTATTTATTTATTAAATTTATATGTGGCCCATCTCGCTGTCCCAAGTGGGATGTTGGCAGCTTGGAAATCTAGTCTAACAAACACACACACACACATACCCCTGCTCAGGGCAGAAATCCTCACATCATCCCTTTATGTCTAAATGTTGTTAGAAAAACCTCCAGTTAAATAGATATTCAACCAAAATCACAATAAATCTTTTTTTTAGTTTATAATTGAGGAAAATACTAGAAACATTGCATCACAGCAGACCAATTAATTCAGAGTCCCCTAACCTTTCTGGCTTTGCAGACCAGTGGGAGGGGGGGACACTGCTCGCACACTGCTCGTGCAAAAGAGGATGCGCACACGCATGTGTGCACTTGCCTGCTGCTTCCGTGGGCTCGTTCTGAACAGCTCATAGTCAAGTAGTGGGCCATGACCCAAGGGTTGGGGATCCCTGAATTAATCAATTGTATGCCTACATAATAGCAACTAATGAAAAGAAATGAAAGTACATCACATTTCAGGAGGATCAATGTTAAAAACAAATCTTAACTAGATGTGTGGGGAAACAATCTCCAGACTCAAAGTCAAATATGACCTTTGAATAATATGAACACGGTCAGATACAAGAGTCTGGAGGAAGAAAATGACCCAGCAGGATATTTTCTTGTGTATAATGTGGGAGGGAAGAGGTGGTTCACTGAAATGTTTTTTTTTTATTTTATTATTTTTGCAATAGCAATAGCATTTAAACTTATATACCGCTCCACAGTGCTTTACAGCAGAGTTCCCCAACCTTTCCAGCTTTGTGGACCAGTGGGGGAGGGGGAGAGTGGCTGGCAAGCATGTGCATAAACCTGCAGCTCCATTTACATGAGTGGTGGGCACATGCACCCATGGCTCACGCAAATGGAGTGTGTGCGCACGCACACACACTCATCTGCTGCTTCTGTGGCCCAGTTACGAACGGCTCACGGCCCAGTAGTGGGCTGTAGCCTGGGGGTTTATAGGGTCAGCATATGGCTCCCAACAATCTGGGTCTTCATTTTAGCGACCTTGGAAGGATGGAAGGCTGAGTCAACCTTGAGCCCATCAGGATCGAACTCCTGGCAGTGGGCACAGTCAGCCTGCAATATTGCATTTTAACCACTGTGCCATCACAGCTCCAGGGGTACCATTTGCTCCTATCTCCCTATGTTCCTATGTGCAATCTGTCATATACGTTTCTCTTTTTTGGGACTAGGTGTGAAAAAAGAACCAAGCTGGAATCTTCCTCAAGATTTTAGTTTTTTCCATGAAGGAGAACTTTTTTTTCTGAAAGAGTAAGCTAACATCTGTAGGTGTGTCTTTTTGTAAAAAAAAGAAAAGAAAAAAAAGAACCATGCACAATACTGTAGTCACATGATCACATAAAGCACAACAAATATCCATACCTCCTTTTTGTCATCTGCAATCTCAAATTTCTTAAGAGGTTCTTTTGCTTGATGTTGCAGTTGTACACTGTGCTCTTGAACAGTCACAATCTCATCTGCATCCAGGTTGGCACATATCTAAAGGAGGGAAAGTTATTTAAGTTATGGATTGTGTAGGTCTGTGCAATGCTTTAGGAATAACTGGCATGCAGCCTTAAAGGTGCAGCCTTAAAGAAGCAGCTGAAGAGCCTTCCTTGAGCATCTCTTTGATTGTTTCTTGAGAGCGATGCATTTAAGGCAGGCTAGCCTAGACAGTAACTTCTCTAGCAGTGTGCACCCAAAGGATCATCCTGACTATTGTGAATGGCTTTGCTGTAGTTCTAGTTTTGTCTCTCAAGTAGACTGCAGAGACTGTTGCTTGAAGACAGTCACTCCTCAAAATGCAACCTATTATAAAGCGTCCCTCTAAAGAAAGTCATTAAGATGGCTGCTATGAATACACCACCGATACCCAGATCTAGTTCTCTGTGACATCTTCAGAAAACAGATGTCTCCCCTCAACCCTGCCAAATGAAAATCTTTTGCCTTTGTTGTTCCTCCCCACTTTGCTGCCTCTTCCCTTAAGCTGTGCTTGCTGGACAGCAAGGTCACCAGCCCTGAGAGCAGCAGAAGCAGAAAGTCACCAGTCCACATGGGCTCCTTCCCAAAGTGCGACTGCAGAGGTTAGAAATGGCAGACTTCCTTGTTCTGCGTGGAATTGTCTTCTCTCCAACGTAGCAAGCATGCACTTTGGGAATCCTGATGGATCTATAGCTCTCTGTGTGTCGCCAGACGGAGGGAACATCTAGATCATACCATATATGGTATGATCTCTGGCTGAAAAGCCAATTGCATTAATTTCTGAAAGAAAATGATCTTAAACTGTGGTGCACATGCAGGTCTCAATATGGGACTCCCTTTGTATCACAAAGTATTGTTCTGTATTACTTTTACAGCTCTACACCCATTCCTCGTTTAGTGAGTGCTTTCGTTAGCAAGTACGATAGCAAAAAAAAAAATCATTTTCAGACCAATGCACACATTTACAACCAAATCTTGTGCACCTACCAACAAAGCAAGCCGGAGTGAGACTAATGCTGGAACGACCGAATGAGAGAACTTTATCTGAATTGAGACAGTAGCAACCAGGCCTTAAAATCATGAGGCTGGGTTATCTGAGGGACTTCTCCCAATTACATCTGGTTGCCCCATCAGATCTAGAGGTGATGGCATGCTATGTGTCCTGTCAGCAAAGGAATTACATCTAATAGTTCATAGGAGGTAGATCTTCTCTGTTGCAGTGCCCATCTTGTGGAATATTCCTCGCCCTCCCCCCCGGAAGTGAGATGAGCTTCACTTCTCTCTCTCAACATTTCCCAACTCCTTCAAGACCTTGCTATGTTATCAGGTCTGAGAGTCCCAGGGGACTGGGGAGATTTTATGATAGCCCTCTTACTGCAGTTAATATCATCCTCTCCTGTGTTCTGTACCTTTTTGATTGAATTTTTAATGTGTTCTATTGCAGATGCTACATGCTGCCCAAAGTCATGTTCATTTGAAATAGGCAGCTATACAAATATGATAAATAAGCCAGTGATCTCTGCAGCGACTCTTTCTTTTTCTCTCTGTCTCATGTGTTCACCTAGTGGCCATTTTGCTTAATGATCCGGTCATTGGAATGGAACTCGGTTGCTAAATGAGGAGTGGGAGTACATCATCCAGGTTATTCAAAATAACCATACGTACAAAACATTCTGAAAATATTTGCCTACGGTTGTTTGCAGCAAGTTAAATAACAAATAAATAAATTTATTTATTTACAGAAGTTGTGACCGCACCATCACTGGAGGTTTTTAAGAAGAGATTGGACAGCCATTTATCCGGAATGGTGTAGGGTCTCCTGCTTGAGCAGGGGGTTGGAACAGAAGATCTCCAAGATCCCTTCCAACTCTGTTATTCTGTTAAATGTGGATAAAGTGCTGCAAAAAGTGTGGGAATAAAAATGCAGCACATCTCGGCAACTCTTTAAAGGAGTCACATTTTTTTTCCTGAAACGGTTTGGCTGTCTTATGATCCTGGAAAAGATGTGGCTGCCTTAAAAAGTTGTCAACAGCAACTACATTCAAATGAATTGAAGCACGTTTGGGAATGAAATCTGAAGCACAGCATGGCCCTATTATTTTGTGAGTTGTGCTGCCTTAAAGTTGTGAACTGTCAAGAAGTGAAGTTAACAATATATTTTCTAATTAAGTTTTCCTTTCATCAGTTGATATGTCTGTATTTGTCTCCCGCACCTCCCTGTTCACTGCAACAAAAGTTCAATGGTGAACTGTCACTTTGAATGATCTAAAATTTCTTCATCCTTTAACTTTCTAGTTCGTTTGTCTTTCTAAATTCCCCCTATTTTCCCCTTTGAAAACTGCAAATCGTTTGTTAATTTTTTTTCCCTACAAAGATAAAATTAATGCCAAAAGCATATTATTGGGCAGGAACAACATTCTCTCACATACTTTTTACATCTCGTTGCTTGCTGACAATTCTGTCTCAAGTTTCTTACACAGTAAAATTCAAGTTGACTTAGACCAGTGTTCCTGAGAAACACCGGCTCGAAGGACTTCCCCAAGCCTTTTCTCATGGCAACTTACTCTAAAGCAGATACACTCACTTCAGGTCATGCCTTGGGACTTTATAAGAATGGACTCTTCAGTCAAGAGATGCCAAGATGGGTTGTTGTTGTTGTTGTTGTTGTTATTATTATTTAGTGACAGACTTTTGCTGCACACTATATAAAGTACTGCATCATTTCTTGCTCTTCTGGAGAATGTAGGTACAGATAGTCCTCAACTTACGACCACAATTGAGCCCAAAATTTCTGTTGTTAAGCGAGACACTTGTTAAGTGAGTTTTGCCCCATTTTACAACTTTTCTTGCCACAGTTGTTAAGTGAATCACTGCAGTTGTTAAGTTAGTAACAAGGTTGTTCAGTGAATCCAGCTTCCCCTTTGATTTTGCTCGTCAGAAGGTCACAAAAGGGGATCACATGATCCCGGGACACTGCAACCGTCATAAAATACAAGTCAGTTGCCACACGTCTGAATTTTGATCATGTGACTGTGGGGAGGTTCCAATAGTTGTGTCATAAGTCACTTTTTTCAGTGCTGAAAACTTTGTTGTAACCTATTCACTTTGCTTGCATTTAGAACAGTAACAGCTAGGTTTGTGTCTTGCTAAGCCCTGGTTTAATTTGATTACACTGTTTAAATGAGCCACAGTATCTGGATTCATGTGTCCCACTAAATTATGAATCATGATTTATAAACGTCCATGGCTGGGCTCTCATAGATCTTGCCAAGTCTAAAATTGCAACACATACACCCTTAAAGTCCAGGAGGAAAACTGGGATATCAGTTTAATAAATAAAGAAAATTACATATATTATTCCTTGTAGGACCACACAAACTCAGTCAAACTTTGATTTCCTACATGAAAGTAGATTCTCTGCTCCAAACTTCGTTACAAGCAAGATCTCACACTTTAAAACCAACAATGATAAAGTTTGCTCTTGTAGAGTATTTGTCCACTATTCTGTGATCATGCATAACTTACTGTTAGAATATGTTCCTCTGCTTTTGAATGATTTGTTGCACCTCCCACTCCGGGTGAGGCTGTTAGCCCCAGAATCTGAGGCTGAGGCACCAGTTGTTTTCCTTCTTTCTTTCGCTTCTCATTTTCCCTTTTTTCTTTTAAGTAGTAACGCATTATATTGTTATAGACAGCTCCTTTCTGGGTGTGATGACATTCATCAATGATCATCAAGGAGAACACTAGAAGATACATTATGCAAATTGATTACAGAGTCCTTGTGCTCATATACATTGTAGTAAAACAAACTACTTTGCTTTTAATCAGCCTGTTTCTTGTGGAGTCCTGGGTGCACTTTGAATTTGGTTGTTGGCTTGCAGGCATTTCATTGCCTGACTAGATAATATCATCAGTGCTGGTGGGCGTGTGGTTTGTTTCCAGTTTAAATACATTAGCTTATCCTGCCACTGTTGGTGATGGGGGGTGGCCTTCTTCTTGGTAGCTCCTTGATTTTAGGGTATGATTTTCTGCTTGTTTGTCTGCTTAATTGTCTCCTTAGAACAGTGTTTCTCAACCTTGACACTTTTAAGGCATGTGGACTTCAACTCCCAGAATTCCACAGCCAGCAATGCTGGCTGTGGAATTCTGGGAGTTGAAGTCCACATGCCTTAAAATTGTCAAGGTTGAGAAACACTGCCTTAGAAGTTCCTTGATTTGGGTATTGTTATAGCCTAATACCCTAAACCCTAAAGAAGTAAGATTATAAACACAGCGGTGATTTCATTTAGTGACTATTTCACTTAATGACTAAGTTGCCAGTTCCAATTATGGTTACTAAACAAGGATTATGTGTACTTCCATGGCAGGCTGGAGAATCTATAGCCTAGAAGATGTGACTGGAATGAAACCTTCTATTGTTCTCAATCATTTACCATGCTGCAGAATCACAGGTTTTCGATCTCTGGCTGAGAAATCAGTGCTTTTATTTTTGTCTAACCAATAATTGTGTTCAAAGTAAAATGAAATATTCATTTTGAATATGCTTCCCATCGTTTCACTTTAGTCTCTTAGGTCCACGCTATGGCCGCCAGAAATATTTTCTTCCTCCCTCAACTGTTTGCAGTGCATAGGAGCAAACAGCCACAAATGGAGGGAAAATTTTCAGAAGGAAACTAATATGAATCCCTAATCTAGGCTATGAACATTTTCTAGACTGATGCCCAGGTTTGGCAGTCCTTCACAAATAAAAGAGGCAGATAGGACCAAATGTGCTTTTGAAGGATACAGGGTGGGTAACTTTTCACCATACTATTTTTGGTATTATTTTCAATCTCCATGAGCTACAACCATTATTCTAGTTATACTGTTGGAAATTGGATCATTTTTTGAAAAAAAATGTATTTGCTGGGAAGAGGCCTATATACTCAAAAGATACGTTAAGCCTTGTGAAGACTAGTAGATGCACCTTGCATCTTTTGGGGGTTCTCCAAGCAGAAACGCAACATGAAGGTTGTTGATGAGTTGGTGGTTAATGTGAGGAGAGTCAAATAGGGACAGAGATTCTGTAGGTCAGTGATGGCGAACATTTTAGAGACCGAGTGCCCAAACCGCAATCCAAAACCCACTTATTTATCGCAAAGTGCCAGGGCTGCATCACCATTGTGGTGCCCTCGGGGGGTCATGGCCCATTGGGTGGGTGTGGCCGCGGTGGTCATAGCAGACTGGGTGAGCATGGCTGCATTGGGAGTGGCCACCTTGATGTTGCTCGTGGGGGGATGCCTGTGGGGGCTGGGCAGGATTGGGGGAGATCCAAGGGGTCTTGTGGGTGGGGCGGTGGACAGGAGGCTTTTCCTGCAGGGTGAGGCAGGGGTTGGGGTGGGGGTGCCATTGCTGCAGGGCAAGGCAAGGCGAGGCAGGGGCGGCTGCTGTCTGACACCATCGACCCCCACACACAGAGGTCAGCGAGTGCATGGGGGAGTGCTCTACTACCTCTACTCGAGCGTGTTAGCCGGCCGCTTCGCCTCCTTTGTGCTGGGCGGGGTTGTTTCTCCGGGTGCCGGCGGCAGCCTAATGGACCTGTGCGAGATGCTGGTGGCAGCGGCAGGCGTGCCCACAGAGAGGGCTCTGAGTGCCGCCTCTGGCACGCATGCCATAGGTTCGCCATCACTGGTGTAGGTGGATTGCAGCTTGCCTGCTCCTGCTGTAATACATTTGGTGTTCAGATCTACACAGCTATCTATACATACCTGATAACTGGACTCCTTCTTCATCATCTTCATACACTTTCTCCAGGGCATTCTCCAGGATCTTAGCAGTACAAATAATCACATCATAATCTCTAATTAGTTCAGGGAATGAAAATTTCAGCTGAGATGACCCACTCAGCCCTATTGTTCGGTACGAATGCTTCATATAGGGACCAAATTCATTCTCTAAATGTTGCTCCACCAGTGGCACCTGTTTTGCAGATTAGATAGATAGATAGATAGATAGATAGATAGATAGATAGATAGATAGATAGATAGATAGATAGATAGATAGATAGATAGATAGATGATATAATTAAACAGATGTTCATGACAACATTTTCCCCTTCAGTTCTCCAGCAAGCATGGCCTTTGATTAGAGGACATGAAATCCAATTATCCAAAAGAAGCCAATATGCAAAAGGCTGTTTACATAAAGTTCTTTGGTTACTGTAATATTTACTTATGTCTCCTGGAAGATCAACAGATGGAAACTGTGGCCAGGGATACCTTTGCCCAACTCTGGCTTGGTACATCAACCTGGGACCTGAGGACTTTACTCCAGTGGCTCACGTCCTTGTATCATTATGTTGCTTAGATTAATGCAATATACTCTGCATTATTATTATTATTATTATTACTTTAATTTATACCCCGCCCTTCTCCCGAAGGACTCAGGGCGGCTTACAGGCAAATAAAAAACGAAACTATACAATAAATATCTAAAAACAATTAAAATATATATTAAATTAGCCTGTTATTTTTAGAAAAGTTATAAAATCCCTATTAAAATCCCTATACAATCCCCCCCCTAGG